CAAATCTAGATTTCTTCAGTTTGACATTGTTTTTGACATATAATTTACAAAATGTAATTTCATCTCAGAGACTAAACTGCCCTTGCACTGGTAAGACTCTAAATGCCTGTTCCCCTGAGAGGGTAGTCCCATTTCATTCAAAGCATTTTTCATCCTCCGTGATCTTAATCTAGAATCTTATTTTAATGTATGATTAATTTGCAAACAAATCACCAACATCTGAAGGAATGATGAAAAAAACAAGTTGGGTCCATACAGGTAGCGAAAGTACTGTACGTCTTCAAGGTCCCTAGTATTGTGATATACGTCCAGTTGTGGCTGATCCCCAGCACATTTCTATACTCTATTGTTCTCTATAAACAAAGTTTGATTAATGAGTATTATTACAAATATCCATCTTTAGTAGATTATAAGAAGCTGGTGTGTAATGGGATTATTAAGATCATTAAGAATTTGTCATGCTTTTTAAAGACATTATTTGAAATATTGTTGTAAATATTATGTTTGTTTTATGTAACTCATGTACTTTGAGGGAATAAAGATTGCTTGATATCTTTTTTAGTAGCATGCTTTTCTTTAATCAAAATCTGTGATATTCTAGTAGTTGTACTGTCCACTGACGACAGGTTTTTATGTTCGAAGTTTAAGGTTAAAAGTGAAATCTATCTATCCGTGTTAAACATTCAGATTACTTCAGCATGCCCAATGCCATCTGGATGCTGAAGATTTGAACAAAGGACGTATGGGCGTTGCGTAAACACCCCTACACATTTACTTCTTATTTGAAACCCAGGAGCTTTATGTAAACTGAGATTTGGCCTATTTCCTAGTCTTTTCTTGATTATCATATTTGAGTATGCGAGTTCATATATTTCGTAAACATCAGACATAGGAGTTGTCCATAAGATCTAGGGTAATGTTTGTGTCTCCTTTCTTGTTCAAGAGGCTGAACCGTTATGAATAGGGTTGCCACAATAGTCTCAGTTAGCACTGCAATCTCATTTTCTAATATGATTATGAGCTCGCCAGGCCTCTCTCAATAGAAAACGTTTCCCTATTAGATAATCATATAGCGTGACTCTAGTGTACGTTAAAGTAAAAAAAATATGTTTATGCTACATGGTTGGCTGGACGTTATAATAAAGCAATGAAAATGAAAAATTAACATGAAAGTGCTCATTGACTATAATTATAATAACATTATCCCTAATGTTCAGCAGTTACATAATCATAATTGATATTTGCTAGACTGCACGCTTTCATAGCTCTCAGGAATGAATCACTGACAAACAGTGATGACACAGGCGCTTGAGGAAAGTCAAGGTCACCCAGGCCCAGCTGTTGGGCACGCAACAAACTGATGCAAGGACAAGCCAGTACACAAATGTACCCGAAAACATGGCCACTCTGTACAACTCACAAAGGAGAAATTGCATGGGAAAATATGTTTGTAACTGTTTAGACATCAGGCCAAGGGTAAAAGCGTTTATTGCAAGTTACAAAAGCTCCCGATAAACAGAACTAACTTACTGTCTGTAACGAGTTATAAGGCCGTGTTACTTGCATTATGCCCCAGGGCAGTTGGTATCAGGTTACACTGTACAGACACGGTCAATATTATTAAGCATGTCCAATATATTTCAAACGTCTAGACGTCAAGAGATATGCGGTATGACAAACAAACATTCCCAAAGCCATTTCGTCATGTTTGGAATATGTGTAAATAACCATGTCATTTGCATCCAGTGTGCGAAATATAGTTTCCAACTTTTGCTAGCCAGTCGGGTTTAGCTGTGCCTGAAAATTACCAGCCCACAAAATAATTCACTAGCCCATAATTTGAATGTAGAAGCTGTCACCTGATTATATCCTGTAATGTAAGGAAAGTTATCATTAAGTGGGTGGTTACCAAGATTCTTCCACAATGTACAAACGTGAATTGCCTATTCTTACAAAATGGAACCTGTTTTGTATTGACTGAAACCGTTGGATAAGCGTTTTTTCATATTTGTTTGTGGGTGAAATAAAACAGTATTTTCATTCAAAATTGTGTGTCATGAATTAGAGTTCAGTTGAAATTTGAAATCACGCGTATGCCACATCATATCTGTCAAATGAATTATTTAGTGTAAAATTGTATTATTTATTGTATTGTAGGATGTGACCGTTGATGAGATTGACGAGGCTCTGAAGACAAAAGCCTCAGAGGGTCCAAAAATCGTCGCTTTCGTCAGGGGTGATGCTCTGGCCGGCCTCCACATCGCTGCCGACACCGTGTCATGCTAGGTGAGTGTCGAGGTGGCATCATGGCCCCGGTATTGAAACTGATGGCGATGTACTACATTTTCAATTTAAGCTATTCCAGAGCATACACGATGGTTTTGTAGGTTCAGAGTAATCGGGGACGTTATCTCATCCTTGTCCGACCCTGAGATATAGGGACTCTTTTCTCAGCGTTTTCTTCAATGATGCAACTTTAACTGCATATGTTATAAGATGTGCACGAATGTGTTGCTGTATTTAAAGTTAGATTCTTCTCCTACACTCTATTTAGCCGTCCGCGGTCTAACAAAACGATAATAACACGGTTTAGTAGTCAGTATAGATGTCAATAAAGTTTTGAATCATTCCATTTTGTTGTGGTTTTTATTCGTTCATGTTTGGCGGATGGAAGTGTGAGAACACTAGTGTTCTGAAATAAGGCTCAGAACACTCAAAGGGCGTTCTAAATCTGTTACAGCGTCCAAGGCCTCCGGGGTGTTCTGAAATGAGCACATATAGAACACACAAAGAGTGTTCTGAAGAGTGGGAACACTACTGTTCTGACGGCAGAACACATAGTGTCTAAATCAGAACACTCCGACTGCGTTACAGGAAGGGTGTTCTCATAGTGTTCAGAACTAGAACACTTAGGTTTAGAGTGCAGGTGTTTGTGAAACTCGTTATTACACATAATCAGTATTGGATATATTTCGTAGATAGAAAATAAATTTAGAAGGAAATGGTTTGGAAACGCAACATGTCTACATATGTATAGTTCTTAGTTATGCATGTCACTCTCCTATTGTCTTTTCTGTTTAAATATTCGACTGACTCTTGCCGCGGATGTGAAAAAATAAATTTGCCCGCTGTTATCAGTATTTTATACCCGGGTGCGTGCACTCGTGCGTACGCGAATCGGGCAAAAACTGGGTCGTAAGCATATTATTTTTAGGCAGCATTAATCATATTTCTGGAAGAATATTAATTTAAACTCTCTTTAAACACATCCGTCAAATTTGAATTCAGAATAAGGAGGGAAAAGTCACATGCCAAACCTCATACCCCCAAATCTGTATATAGAGTTATGCATTGATATTTTTCCAGATCTCTAGATGGGCTGCGTATTTGCTCAGGTTGTGCAAACTGTTCATTTCAAAACAAACATAAATCGTGTAACTTTAACGTACTGATAGGAAACTGTATAACCGAAAAGTAGAACAACACTAAGGTGCTAAAGTACCTATTATTTATTCAGTTTTTAGCAGGTTGCAAAACACAAATATTTCTACAGATCTTTTCTTATTGAATACAGTATTCATGTATTCCAGAGCTTTACTGCATTGAACAATACACGGATATGAAACTCCTGCTTGTGATTTGTCGGCGATTATAAAACAATAATCGGGAAAAAAAACAATAATATACTGCTTTAAAACTTCCAACCCCAATCTGAATGGCTACATTCAGACAAACGCTTAACGGCTCAAACTCTGTTCTCAAGCCATTTTTCCTACTCACATTTGTCTAAAAACTGACAACGGGTTGAAGGGAAGTGGAGAAACCGATGACCTAATGGAAATCTGTCCACTTGCATAAAATGTTTTTGCTCAGCCAGGCCCCTCATCGGTAGAAGTTTGAGAAGGTTATATGAGCCTTGATGTCAAAGGCTTCAGCATTTGTGAAAATAAAACAATATGAAACCAGTATTTAACACAGTGGAAAATTCTGCGATTATCTTGGTTTAGCTCAGGTAATATAACCTATAAAACTGTTCAAACGCATACCCTTGATATTCAGAATATATTAGTTTCTAAGGAGTGAAAATTGATAAATTTACATATGTTTCCCTACCTTAGAAGTATTCATGTTTCCAACCCTAGTAATCTTAGAAAAGATTAGGAAATCTCAGCACGAATTACAAGGAGTTTATTGGAAATACTCTAGGACCAACCATTTACTGGTATCAGCTTCTGAATTCACGCTTGGAAATGTCTGCAAATCCGGTCGTAGCATACATGCAAAAGTTGATTTTGCATACGTCAATATACGATGATCATATGATGCAAAGGCGCAGTTTCATATATAATAAGCATCCGAAGTTGGAAAATACAGGAAACATACGCGAATCCGGTCATAGGATGTACTTCCTTTACTGTATTTACGTTTATTTCAATGGTGTACTATCCGGCTTTTGGTCCCGTGAAAACTAGAGACGTCATGGGTTGTAATTTGACAACTCACAACGAGTGAATATAGGTAAACGCCACAGTTTGTAACAGTATCAATCAGTTTGTAACAGTATCAATCAGTTTGTAACAGTACCAATCGACGACGGCCTATGACTGATTGAGCCCGGACCAGACAGATCCATCGACACAAAACTCCATCAACGATCCATGTCACCATGATACCACACAACCAGCAACATCACAGGGCGTGCGTGGTCACCGTGTATGTCTCTAACGACATGCGCCGTGTTACTGGGAACCTATTCTTCTCTGGAATCCCGTGGGTCTGCCCTCGAATGTATATAAGGGATTACATGGCAGATAATCCTCACTACGGCTGCATTACCTCCACACCCAGGGGACAGTGTGCACGACACACGACGATTATAGATTGTACGGCGGTCCGACTTTTTCCATAGTGATCGTACCGAACAATAGCGAATAACACCCACTAAGGTGTTTAAACGTTGTTGCTCTGATGATATTCACGAGTAAAACAACCATACTCACCAGTCTCGTCTTTATGGACGTGCAGTACCTTCGTCCGAGCACAACCATACAACGAACAGAGATGATCCGAATGTTACGTCTGGCTGTCTGGTCATGTGTCGCTAAACACCATGGGTACGCCGCGATACATACTCTGCATGATGCCAAGTCTAATTTCTTCAACAGTTTTGTCCCCATCATTGTCCAAATTCAACTGTAATTTGTTCACGTGATCTTTATAAAACACCACGTAAACATCATGTGAGAAAAATAAATTTCAAGAGCCCGAGAAGGTTTACGTGTGTTTCTGATGAGGGCAGTAGAAGTCTTCACGCTGTACAGGAGTCCATGACACAGCACAGGTGAACGTCTCTTCTATACAAGAGCTGATTTTGTAGATCAGTTTCAAATTGTTTAATGTCATAATTATCTTAGCTCCGAGAGGTGTTTGACGTTTAATCCTATCTCGAATTGCTGTAGAATACAGTTAAGGCTGGTCAGTCACCATTAGGAACGACGGGGTTTGTGTCGTTTTAGCAAAATCCCATGCATATGACGGTGTTGAATCCCATGCATGAACCTTTACACTCGTGTCCATTTGTGGTACTTCTTTAAAATGGTATAATGTGGATATACTTATATTCAAAATTAATATGTATATGTGAGAACACCTGTATGTACATCGGAATAACAATGGTTGTCCTTCTCTTGTGTGCCACCTCTGCCAAACACATGGCACAGCACTAGACGTGCTACACTCCTCCAGTGTAACTACAACGGTCAGCGTTAACCTGTGCTTCCACCTGTATCCACCTGCAATAAGCTGTCCTAGAGCTGTGACAATCCTAACTTCCATACCAGTCTCTCTCACAGTACCTGTTTCCAAGGCGTTCCGACTAGCACTTTACCTGTCAGGTAGATGGTATTTTACCTGTCGGTATCCCGTACCTAGGATGGTGTGTCGTTACCTGATATTGCGAAGAGGTACAGTGTCATTACCAGGGGCCCGCCTTGGAACTTTACCGTAGTTCATCCAGCAAACTGAAGACGATGATCTTCGTTCAATAGTTTTTATTGAAACTGTGCTTTATGGTCAACCTACTCTATGGTCACTTCTATGAAGACTTCAGCCGCAAAGCTTCAGTCTTAAGCCAAAATGCTGAATTGCTTTCAAAACAGCAAAGGAGCAGGCCCGCACCAGACTCTCGTTTCTGAGCTTTTGCTCCTTGCTTAAACCTGGGTTCCTACGTCACAGCCAACACCCTTTTTCATTTATTTTTCTATTGGTCAATTAACCCATGAATTTGACTATCTATTTCTCTCCCCACCTCTATTTCGTACCCCACTACCATATTTGTACGACGTGAGGTGGATTCACGCAATCTCGCAGGGTCTCTCTCCTAACCATATATGTCTCGTAGAGTACCAGGAACTGGTGGCCAGGTCCCCGGCCAGGTCAGCTCCATCTTGATAGTATAGTAGCTTTTTCCTCTATCTAAGCTATGAGTCACTCCCCTTGCCTCACCAGCTCCAGTTGACCTACTTTCATGTTCATTACCTACGTTACTGACTTTCTACCTTACCTTCCACCTTACAACGTTACCAATCACTTCCATATCTTCAATATTTTGTTAAAACTCTCACAATTTGTATCTTCTGCCCCTTAATCCTAATGTCATTAATAATGTTAATTGTATATCCTAATTGTAATAAAGACCATAATCTCACGCCTATTACTTGTAGGCCCAATGGAATCATCTGTTGACACACACTTACTTTTAAAAGGCTTGTTCATATGATACTAAATTACATATGTACGCACGTATACTATCTATGTAAAACTGGCTTACTCCCCTTCGAATTGGCATGGTGACCACATATATCCCAAAAGTTATATGACGTGTAAATAGTCTTAAAAGTGCATTATCTGTACTAACAATATTACTCGCTATCCAAAAATGCTTTACATGTATACTACCCAAAGGGAGTTAAAAACACCCAATTCATTCATTATTGCTGTAGTTTATCTGTCATGGCAGACTGACTAAAGTCATACGGTTTTGGGTGTTCTTTAACATCTTATTATGGGCTGCTCTTATTATCTTATTATGTTCTTTAACATCTTATTATGGGCCGCTCTTTATTATCTTATTGTGTTCTTTAACATCTTATTATGGCTGCTCTATTATCTTATTATGTTCTTTATCATCTTATTATGGGCTGCTCTTATTATCTTATTATGTTCTTTATCATCTTATACGCTCTTATTATCTTATTATGTTCTTTATCATCTTATTATGGCTGCTCTTATTATCTTATTATGTTCTTTATCATCTTATTATGGCCAAGGCTCTTATTATCTTATTATGTTCCTTATCATCTTATTATGGGCTGCTCTTATTATCTTATTATGTTTTAACATCTTATTATGGCTGCTCTTATTATCTTATTATGTTCTTTATCATCTATTATGGGCTGCTCTTATTATCTTATTATGTTCTTTAACATCTTATTATGGGCTGCTCTTTATTATCTTATTGTGTTCTTTAACATCTTATTATGGGCTGCTCTTATTATCTTATTATGTTCTTTATCATCTTATTATGGGCTGCTCTATTATCTTATTATGTTCTTTTATCATCTTATTATGGGTTGCCCTTATTATCTTATTATGTATGGGCTGCTCTTATTATCTTATTATGTTCTTTAACATCTTATTATGGGCTGCTCTTATTATCTTATTATGTTCTTTAACATCTTATTATGGGCTGCTCGTCTCTTTGCTTGACACTCGGACATGGCGTGTGTACATCAACAGGAACTGGTGGTTCTGTAACATTATCATCTCCTGGTAACATGAACATTTACACAAAAAACACATGTACGTATGTACGTACAACCGTCAACCAGCTCTGTATACCTTGGTAAATAAAAGCACAAGTTTGGAAATATGTCCATATTATCATGGCATGAAAACTATTCGCAAAACTTCATAAACTGAGATTCACGCAGAGAATTAGATTGTGTCCGTGCTGATAAATCTCCACACGAACAAGAATCAATCAAAGAATCATCTTTTATAGATTGATTAATTGTCTCATCCTATCATAAAATATGCCCCACAGAGCACCTAATTATCTTTCTCGGCTCGGGCGTCGGCGGGGACAGTAGAAAATGATGTTACAACATTGACAACCCGAACTCTGCTGCTCACCACTGATTTTATCTCGCTCCAAACACTACCAAATTAATATTTCACGCAACCGGAGGAACATTTTCTGTAGATGTTAATTCACAATGCCAATCACGCCAAGCCCAGCTTCCACTCGTCATTGCTTTGGTATCTATGTAAATAAATAGATGAGCCGCTCTCGTGTTCTTGTATTACGCAAGTACCTGACAGCCTGACAACCTGTCTTATTTGAAGAAGGACACTCAGTCAAATCCATCACAGAATTTGAAGGCGCATTACTTTCTTTGATTTCCAAATTTGCTGTCAACTATTTCTTCCATCTTTAGTAAGATCTGACAGAGTGAAAAATGGGGTAAGTGATCGCAGTTTGAGTAACTGTGTAACACATGCACTGTGGAAGCTTGAAAGCATATCACGAAGGGAAATAATTTATCATTTAAGCGGGTATTGGATTGCCACGGAGCCGATTTGATTCAATACAGTCAATACATGCAGGTATACAACTTGCAATTCAATGTCCGCGTGAACCGGCCTCCTCGCCTCACCTGCAGTAACACCAGGAGAAATCCCTCGCTTAATATGACGCTTATCGAGGGCATGGTTTTCATACATCGAGTGAATAAGAGTTCATGTTCATTGGGTCAACAAATTAATTCGAACAGTATTATTTGGCTGTAAGACATTGGTTCAGTGGTACCAAAGTGGTACATGATGTTGGCCGATCGAAAACTCATAATCGAGGCGTATCTGGTACTTTGAACCTACGACCATCAGATCCTGACAGTTTTCGACCAAGGGAAGTGTCTAATCCTAGATACTCTTGTGCCGGAACATACATGGGGGTATGTTGCTATTCCCCGACATCGAGCTCCGGGCTTACGCGGTGTTCATACGGTTTGTAAATATAAAGAAATCTCTTTAGAACATCTTTAACAACCATTACTATACTGGAATAACGTAACTGTGCATTATATGATGTTATGCCATTTTAATGCAAAAAGATAATAACAGGATTTGTGGTGTTTTCCTTAATCACCGTTTAACTGTTGACAGGATAATATCGAAAATCTGTATGATTTGACACAACAAGGCATCGTAACACGCCGTTGAAGAGATGTGGTGTCAAAAGTCAGTTACCGATTAAGTATCGTGTGTGTCCACTATTGGTGTTGATGGAGTCTCGACAACGACGACGCATAGACGACACTAAACGATAGATGGAAGCTTGGGGAATGCTGTTCCTTGTCTGAACCAACGCTTATCTCAATTCAGTTATCAATCAATGGCTTATTCTGGGTTCGACGTAAACGTCTCTCCATTTCATCCCATGCGTGCTCGATAGGGGACAGGTCCGGAGAAACAGCTAGCCAGGAAAGTACCGGGATGTTCTGCTGTATCATCAAATCTGTCACAACACAGCGACGACATGGACAGGCATTATCTGTACACCCTGTGTGGCGCATCTGTACATCTATTACACCCTTGCCCTGCCATCTGAACTGTCAGATGGGGAAATCTCGACTCGTCGGTGAACAAACGCCATCCCAATCTTGTCTCCTTGTAACCGTAGATGCTGCCTTCGTACCAGGCAAGACGTGCCTATCGGTGACGTAATGCAGGCCGTCGGGCCGGATGCGTTGATAACTCCCTCCAGTTCGGTTCCGTACAATCCTGGAACTGATTGGACGTAAAGCCAGGAATGGTCCGTGCTCCAAAGCTTTTACAATGACTTGAGCCATCATTTTGTGTAAAGAAATAGCCCTGGAAGCCTGTGGAGGGCACGCATGATGAGCCAGGCTCACTAATTGTTTCTGGCTTAGATTTAGGCAAGGACCAATGCTATCACTTTGGGTCATAATGGCTATAGGACTTCCTATTAGGTTTGCAATCCAAATTTGATTACATAAGGCAGGTTGAGCAAAATTCAAACACCTATCCGCAAATTA